ACAAAAAGGGGGCGAGGGGGAGAACAGGGGGTGGAAAAAAGGGGGTTGGGTGGCTTATTGGTATTGGTAGGTGGCCGTTTCATCCTCGGCCCCGTGCATCAATGTGCGAGTTATATTTTTTCCTCTTTTCCAAGCTTCGAAACGTTATACCCTCAACCGTGTGAGGGGGTGGATGGGAGGTGAGAGGGAGGTGAGAGGGAGGTGAGAGGGTGATGCAAAGGGGGTACCTCTCTCGCGCCTACAATGAACAAAAAAATAGCCATCGAACCCCCTCATTCTCCTCCTCCTGTCCAACCCCGAAAAAAACCTTCTCCTCGTCCTCTCCCTTCTCTCCCACCGTCGGCGTACCGACGATGTCGACCACTGCAGCAGCATTCGTATGCGTGGGTTCGATGGGTATTGATATATTATTCCCAATAGTTCGTGTTCTTTTTTTTTTTATTCACCCAAACCATCGCGCACTCTCCCCGGGTTTTTTTCAATTATAATTCTTTTTCGTATCCAATCAATCATTAGTATTTCCATTGTCCTTCGGTATTTTCATTTGGCGTCGCGCTTTCAAGCCGTGTGACTCCACCAACTCCCTGAATTTGTTTTCTCTCTCTCCAGTGGAAATACCTATGTATGCACTTTTTTTTTTCAGTGTATGTGTACGCCTGAGTATCTGTGCAGGGAGTAAAAAAAATGAGTTGTATATGGGCACCCGTCCCTGTTACTGATGGCGTCGCCACCGATTCGTTAATGCGATTGAATATTAATTTTCACTTTGTCCGGTATAGTGGAGCTTTTTTTGGAAAGGGTAGGGGAGAGAAGAGGGGTACCTCTTCTGTGTTGAGCTTTTTCCGGGCTTTTTGCAATTCCGACGTTGTATGTCAGAGGGTGGGCAAAGGGGTGAGGGGATACTTGTTCCCGTGCTCACTCTTTTGGGGGTTGTCTGTGCCTTTTGCCACTCGGAAAATTTGAAGCGATATATTGACGGCACTTTTATCCGACTAACGCACGGAGACGAGTGATTTTTATTCCGATGTGACGGACTGCAGGAAGATAAAAAAACACCTGAAAAATAAAACCAAGAGAACATTTGGACTCGAATGACACATTAAATTTATTTAACGGTCTTCCTGAATTTTTTCATCCATTAGAAGAAAAAAAAAAACACTGGAATTTTCGGCGGGAAGCTGCGGAATCAACACCAGTAAATCGTCTCAGCCTCAATTCCTGTGCCTCTTCGTTCATTCAGTCGTCAAGTTCCACTTAATAAAACATGCTCCCGGGTCTAACCACTTTCCCGTGCCAACACCATCTTCCATTTCACCTCCTTCACCCTTAACTCCTCTTTTTTCCCGCTATCATGCTTCAACGCCTCTCTACTTTCCTCTTTCATCGCCCACAAAATTTCATTCCTTCTGACTCTTGTTACTACCCCTTGAAAACTTTGAGCGTGAATTTTTTGCGTTGTAAAATTTCCGCGCACGTGCACTTTCTTCTCTCTGTATACTCAGTAAAAGTACATGTATATCTACTTTTTATCCCTCCCCCCCCATCATCCTCATCGCCCCTTATCGCGGGAGTCTAACTGCCACCACTGACGGGACACTCCATAAACTTGGAAATTGTCCTAACAAATACACAACAGCATTATTACCCGCAACTATTTAATTCCCCAAATAATTAATCCACCATCACCTGACAATTTGGCTCTTCCCAATTCTCCCCTTAATTGATTAACAAACAAATAAATGAAGGGTGTGCATTGCCACATTTACGTATAATTGAATAAACTTTTCACTCTGATAAGCCCCACATAGAGCAAAATGCCCAGCAGGTTTGAAAATGAAAAAACAATCCCTAAAAAAAAAGAGGGAAATTTCGTATTTAATTATCTCTCAGATGCACACGCCAAACACACACAGCACCTATGCACATGACCATATACAAGCCAGAGTTGAATCGCCAAAAAAAATCTAAAAACAGCCAAATTCGTTCAGCCTTTCGATTTCTCACGTTCGCTTGCCGATACCAATTTGCTCGGGCGAATAAAAGCGCCAGTGGTGCGGGCTGTTGTGAAGGAGAGAGAATGAAGAGAGGGCTTTATAAAAAAACAAGAAATTAAAAACGAAAAAGAAATGATAAAAAAAAAAATAGAGAAAAATGCGCAGGAACCAGTGGGTTGCAGTCGATCGCGTGTGCCGGCCCGCTATTTCCTCCCGTGTGCATTAAACAATGCGACTTTTTCTCCTCGGGGCGCTCTCTCCCTCTCCAACGGGTTTAGCCCCGGGAAAATGACGTACGACAGGTAAATACGTGGGAGCCACTGCAAAAAGGCGGTGAAAGAGGAAATACAAAAATGAACGGAGGGTTTTATGGAAAAAACCAAAAAAATCTAAAAAAAAGCACAACAACAGAGAACAGAACAACAAGATAAAAAATTTTTTCGTGAATTCCAGATCTGCATAGGTGAGTCTGGAATGGACCGAGAGAAAAAGAGGGAGAGAGAGAGAGCGATGGGGCGTGGACAAACGAGCGGAAAAATGGCGAGGTTTGGAAATGAGATTTGCTTGGTAAACCGACAATTTATCGCAGGTATCTGGCGAGATCGGGCAACCCTTGACGTACCTCTGACCAGAGTTATAATTAATACGCTCACTCGTCACACAGACCAAACGGCCAATATTCATCCTCTTTTCTCTCTTCCCCAATTTTCATCTCCTCCTTTCTCCCTCGATACACGTTAAATGTAGAAAGGACACTGTCCCATGGAATCATATTCGTAGGTCGACACACCAATGGACGGTAACTGGCTCGGCTGATTAACTTTGAATGACTGACGCCGCAAAAACACATTAAAACCTTGAATGAGTACAGATGCAAAATTTGGTTGTTGGGAATCAAGTGACCACAGAGTAAATGGCCTGGCGGTTGCACTGCTCTGCCCATCGGAAGCCCATCAAAATATCCCGACACTGGGTTTATAAAAAAAAAAAAAAACAGAGGACAAGGCTCCAACAGCGACATTGGTATTTCCCGGGGAAGGGGTCGATGGATTCGGTGGTCATCCTGTTGGTTTTCGTTTCAATGGTTGTTGCCATTTTTATCGTCGTCTTATGATCGACAACTGTGCTGTTAGTCAGTTTGGTCAAGTGATTGGAGAATCAGTTATTGAATGAGGGGAAAAGAGTTTTGTGCATTCAATTTCAGAGGTTTTTATTGGATTATTCCAATTACGAGTCGGTAACACATGATCCGACTCCGTGATATCGCCAATTGATTTTTCACAATGGGCATTATTTTGAGGGTTGACTAGTTCTTAGGTGTTATTTTTTTGCTCACCCTCGCTCACATGTTCGCATTCGCTGGTTTGAAAAAAAAAAACATCATTGAATATCCCGCCAAAACCTTGGCATCCGCTGTCTCTAACGCGGAATCCTCCGTTCACCGACAAAAACCACAAATTCCTTACACGTCAACAGTCCCAGATAATTGGACAGACAGTCCCAGATCCCTCGATCTCTCGGCGTGGTTTTTCCCCGGTCTTCGGACACTCACGCGTAATAAATACGTCACAGGACGAGAACAAGATGAATCACCTCGGTCCGCTTAATTTCCCATCTCCTTTCATTGGTAACGATCTCACCAAATGGGGCGACACAAAATGGAGTTCACTTTGAATATCCCCGCGAACCTGTCATAAAACAATCAATTGCCCGGAGGTTAATCCCTTATTGAACTTGGTAGATCGTAAAGCTATCCGTTAAAAATAAAAATGAATATCTCGAAAAATCATTGGAATTCGATTTACCCTGGTATCGAGTGGACCCTGGAATGGCATTGAGAATGGCTTTTAGTGTAACCGAAGACGATACGTTTTTAACAAATAAAAATCATCAACCTCACGTACCGATACAGCCACTTGGCTCTCAACCAATCAGAGCTCACCCAACGACTAATGTATTCAAATGTAAGCGGTAGCAGTGTTTATGTCTTGACATTGCAAATTGTAGCGGCTGCACCATAACTTATAGTAATTGCTTCGAGCCAGAGTAATTATTTATACTCTTGATATAGGCGAAAGGGTCTTACGGTCTGCAGGAGGCTTGCCAGTGTGGCTTTCAAGGTGTGTTTAGTTTTCCTTTTATTAATGTCTTCGTCTAGTTTATTTTTGATGATCAACTCGAATTGATGTGTCATTCTGTCTTCCCATTCCTATTACAACTCAAGCAATAAATCAAACGCACCAAAACTATTGTATCGAATATTGATGATCAAGTCGAGTTCCGGAGTTATCCATTATCCTGTAATCCCTTTTTTTTTAAATTACACTTGTAGAAGTTTGAAGAAGCAATTGAATTTCAACTTCCTGAAGCTCTCAAGTCAGTGCTGCCCCCCATCGTGGAAATGACCAAGTGACTATTGGCGTCATCCTCACGGCAGTCGATAAGTGAAAATTTAATTTCTAATTCTTTATTAGGTGCTCATTGATTTCTTCGTTTATGAATAATTGAATTTCGTATGTAGTGGGAGGATTGGGGGTTTATACTGAATTTTTAACTGATTGAGTACTTCAATCTTCATGAGCTTTTTTGCTTGCCCGGCGACAACCTTTTACTTCCATGATAAATCACGCATTTGTATTGACACAAAGAAATAACACACATGTTGGTTTTCACAAGCTTAGTCGATAAATCAGTTACTATACTAAGGCAGGGGTTGGAAAAGCGTCGGGGGTAGTTTTCTGAGCGTAACAGGTGGTTGAAATTCTTGTTCGTTGCATCTTTTTTTACTCCTTTATCGGTTGGTGAAGAAAAAGAGAGCAATCCCAGTTCACCTAGTCGGGCACGTTTAACGCCTCTTAAAAGAACTCCGTTGGAATTTTTTTTTTTCCTACTTTTTTCTGCGAATAAAAAGAGCTCTCCCACCGGTGAGATTTTAATTCGTTACATTGAAGACAAATATACACTTCTCAAAAATTACTTTATTATCAACGACAATACATTCTTTATCACAAACTTGTAATACTAGGATGGCGTTTAAACTGACCAAAAGTTCTGTCGAAAAATTACATTACTTGTATCCAAAAACATTATTACGCTATGCAATGACACAGTAATTAAGATCAAACATCACATATTTACATCAGTTGTACAATAACTATTGATTACAATTACATTAAAGCTTAAGTCAAGTTTCTGCACTTTGGAAGTATTTCATGTTGTATAAATTCTTGATGAGTAATTATGCAGAATCTGGTTTAATTGAGTGTCTCTCCGTACATTACGACTATCAATAAATACAAAAATCTCACTAGAAAATAATGAATAAATTAGAATACAGCAGTCGCATCGCCCTACCGCTAACAATATTAAATGACCTCAAGGGAATTTAGTCAATGATTAATCGATCGCAACAAACGAAACAAAATAAAAGGGAAAATTACAAAATGAAGTTCAAAAAACAATTTGAAAATTAGCTCTAGAAATGGAATTAAATTCTAATACACCGAGCCTCAACGATCACCAGGGCCTCCACATGTCTCCATTCTGTGACGATCCTGCAACAGGTCCTCCCGGACCCTGCGGACGTCCATTATTTCCCACCCCTAAAAAACCCTGCGCCTTTCCTGATAAATCCTCTGCCGAGACATTATATTCTTCCCTAATTCTGAGCCCAACTGTATTCACAGTGGAGCTTGATGCCTCTTGGTATTTCGCTTTCTTATCCGAAATAGCAAGAAGTCCGTCCGAATGATGTCTTTTGAGACTCTCCCTCTTAGGCGGCACCCGATTATACGTCTTATCCGTGATAACAGACAAGGGCTTCCTCAAGTTCTGAACTTTACCGTTCGCCTCTACCGACTCATAATGAGACATATCCCTTCTCGAAGTTGTGACGTCACTCTTTGGTTCAACGAAGACAGCGATCGGTGATTTGCGATCGCTTGTCGAGCTGATTTGGGACTTTTGAGTTTCGGGTGAGCTCTTCGACGAGGCAGGACTTGCGTCCGGAATTTTAAATCGATGATGATTTGGTGACTCGGTATTTCGGTACTGATGCGCCTCGGAGTGATGGGTCTCTTCTCCAAAGCTGGATGTTGATGTTGATGGACTGAGAAGAGGACTGTGAACCCTGTGCACAGCAGTGAAAGCGGAAGTGCCACCGGCTCTTGAAGGCTCCGTCGACGGTGGGAAAAAGGGAAAATTAGCGGATATTCCAGCAGACTGTGGTACCAACAGTGCAAGCTCGCCTGTTGGTAATCTACTTGGGATGAGCTGTACCCCAGATGGTATTTGAATTCTAGCGCTGCCGTTGTTGTTCTCATCTCCACTGTGAAAGTCACTCTGGAAGCCGACCTTCACCTCTGGAAACAACCTGTCCGGCATGTACGGTACAAAGTGGCTGTAGAATGGTGCCATCTGCTGTAGATTATTCACACAGCTATTGAGATGGGTCACAAGCCGCTGTTTTACCACGGTGTCCACGTTCTCCAGATGATTGACGTACCGGGATACTTCACCGGCGCACTCGGAGAAACCCGAGCGAAATTTTGAAAGAACCGCCGGATCAGTCGCCACTGCTGTATTAAGCTGCTGACGTTGAACTGTCTGGAGATGCTTCACTGTCATCTCTAGGATGTCCGCTTTCTCCAATTTAGAGTGGCGTGCTGGCTGTAATGGAGTAAAAACTATTAATAATCTTTGTGAAATGTTATTGCATGAGGGTGCGTAATCCTCGGGACAAGTCTCCATCCGTGAAAACAGGTAAACCATGAGCTGGGATGAATGAAAGCCATCGTGGGAACCCGTTAAGTTTTTCGTGGGCTAGGAGAATTTTTTTTTTTCCAGAAACGAAAACTGGTCCAAAACGAGGTTATTCTTTAAATTTGGGAAAAAACTTGGGACAGCCCTTTGGCTACCAATGGATTGAGCGTGGGTGAAGGTCCCTCTGGGATTTTTGTGGTGTTCTATTGTGCTCCGAATACTTCTCACTGACACGGCTTAAGGTATTCCTACACGTATAGATGTTTTCACGATGAAACTCTCGGATGGCCGTCCACCTTAACAATAGGCGTGGGAGATGGCCGATCGTCTCGGTTACACACGTTGCTGGTGCGTTAAAGAGTTATTGTCTGTGGGAAATATTCCCGGGATTCATTCATAAAAGAGTGGGCGGTTGCGTATTAAATGTGTACTAGTCTGATGGCACGTTGAATGATTCCACTGGTTTTTCGGTTATTTCAGGTCGACGGGTAATTAACCCCGGGTTTCCTCATTTCCAAGAATAGTGAATTAGGAGTAATTGGGATAATTAGCTATTACGAATTTTGAAATTCATGTGGGATTGGAATTTCGAAAATTCCCTTCGGACATTGAGAGCTGTGGAATATTGGGTGGCGAATTGGCTTTGCGAATTTAAATAATTCTATTTACTCCGGATTTTAGGTGTAAGATGATGACATCATTGTAGTCGGAGTAACGCACCGTAGCGAAACGACAAGAATACCCTTAAGCACCTGCTAATCTTTTCAGAAAGTGGGAGTGTACCTTCTCACCGACAAATCGATGGGAGTCCTTCGAAGGATCTCTCCAAAAATGATACGGTCAACAAAAGGCCCAATCTCACTGGTAACCTGAGCCCATTTTTTTTACCCCCTCTCCACTCTCAATCATCTCTTTTTTTAATAATTACATTGAGGTTCCCACGAATGTGGGGGGCGTTACGTGCGGATCTGGCAGGAAGTCATCTGGATACGCACAACAGAATCCTGTGGTGTACCTCTGGGGCTCTTGGGAATTGATTCCCCGGGGGATTTGAATAATCTCTGGATTCCGCCGAAGGGGTTCAACGTCGGCTCGATTTTCACTCTTTTTCCCCCGATCTTAAGTCAATGTTTGGGCCCGTTTAGTGGAAGTCCACTTGAAAATTAGCTCCCTTGTTACGCGCTTGAGTGGTATTGTTGGGTCGAGCAGAGAACTTGAAGGAAATATGCGTAAAGAGAGAGAGAGAGAGATGAGTTCCCACGGCATGTCGTGGAAAATATTAGAAACAAAGGGCCCTAAAAACAAGGTGCCTCCAAACCAGGAGTGCTAGAGTGTAGACTCTGGCCGTGTCAATATTTGCGGAAGACATTTCCGTTAGAGTGTTTTTGTAGACTATTTGCGAAGATGTTTTTGTCATTTTCGTGTGTTTATTTTTGGGAGTTTAAGCGATGGAGAGAGAAAAATAAAGACACTTACGTCTTTTTTCATAGCCTCGAGGATTAGACTCTTGAGTTCTTCGAGGCATGTATTTATCCTTGCGCGTCTCCTCTTCTCCATTATTGGCTTATTACTCTGAAAGGAGAGAGCGAGAGTGAGATTAATTGTTAATTGAGATTAATTTGGTTTTTCGAAAATCGGATTGATATTATGTGAATGACGAATTATAAGAAATTATTATTAAAATAATATAATTATTGTTCAATTTTAATATGATGCTAATAATAATCATTATTATTATATTACTATTAGAGATAATTATTGTTATTCACTTACTCTTCGCAATTCTGCCTTGGACATGCTCGACTGGGTTTGCGCTTCGAATTCCTCGTCGCTTCCGGACATTTTGTAATTACAGTAATCCACCATTTATTCAATATAACAGCGTAATCACCGCACTATCTCACTTAATAAAATTTTTGTTAAATTCTATTTTTATGATAGAATCTCATAAAAATATGATGAAATATCTTCATGAATGATTTCACACAACAATTCACCACACGTGGTCAGTAAATTTTTCACAGTTATGCAATGAACACAGTAATCCAATGTGATACCTCGGATACTCCTGAGGGTCTCTCCCTGGAGGGTTTGGGGTAGAATGCTGGAGGGTAACTGTTTGACGTTTTCGAATTCGTTGAGGAGTCCGCATGCCGATGCATCCGAGAAATTTTGTGGTGGGGAAAGCATACTTTAGGTTGGTGGAGTATTAAGGGAGAGGGGAGCCCTTTGCCCTAGTCAGACCTGTTGATGTGTGGGAATTTGCACCGAGACTGGGGGGCATTCCCCAGCCACGTGTACTAACAATGGATCTTATCTCATTAACTGATTTTTGTTAATTGAAAAATTACTACGTCACTCAATTTTGAGTATTTAATTGAAATTATTTCTCAGTCACGAAAAAAAAAATCTACAAATATGTAAAACATCTGCTAATTTAATTTTATGTTTCATTTACAAATTATATTATAATATTATATTATATTTAAAAATTGAAAACGAATTTTAAATGATCTGGAGTTATCCGACAATTAAGATGTGGTCAGTGGAAAAAAGGAATAATTGAATTCTGTGGGTGAGCAAAATTTATTCAATGGAGACGATTTTATACAGGCGGATATTGATTTTATTTATATGTTCATGGGAAAATTCAGGAAAATGTATAATCTAAGAGAACGTACAATCAATAATACAATTGCGGTGGGTTCTGCCTACTTTTGACCTACTTGCATGAAAAATGTAAAATACAATTCGCGAAATGAAATAAACGTGTTTATGTAATAGCTCTTATAACACAACCAATTGAATGGCTTGTGTGTGTAATTGTGAATGTACATGTGCGCACGCCAGCCACACGTATGGCGCGCGTACAATTCAGTGAAGTACGAATTCATTCGTCTACGAAAAAATTCCCACAGTCTAAACAGCCGGTCTAATTCATCATTTCACTCGGAATTTTTTCTCCCCCTGTTTAATGAAATTGTGTGAATAGAGATTCCCGCGCAATAAAAAATATTCCCATAACATTATTTTATCTTCAACATTGGAAATATAGAGAATTATTTTTTTACATATCGAATAAAAATTGGTTGATTGTTTAAAAAAAAAATGGCCTCCGGCACGCTTACATTATAAACTCGTCGCCTTAAATAATAAAATCATAAAAATAGTCCAAGTATAAAAATTTGTTGGGTCTTGAAAATCCATAAAAATACGGATATTTATACTGTTTGACAGAATCAGTAAGTGTGCATTTTGAAGAGGCATTTGCCGCAATAAAGAGATAAATTTTTATAGCCACACGATTACGGGGCACTGAAAAACTTCAGGTTGTCTAGGTACCGTGTGCCTGAACCGTGTGCCGTGTGCTCCTCTCCTCAACATTTTTTCGCATTTTTTCTCCAGTTTGTTTTCCTGACAAACCAAAATGATTTATTGTCCCAACTACGAAAATATATTGATATCTATATTTGCACCCATTTGAACTGAGTCGCTAAATTATCGCAGCTAACAATCACGTTTTTTTTTTTTTCAAAACCCATTTTTATTTGTTTTCGTCAGACTCCAACTTCCGGTTGAATACACAAAGAGTTATTGGGGGCACCGTAGGTTTTATTTCCGTTTATTCGAGTTTAATCTTCCCATCGATTTTACGGAATTTCAATGGTTTAGTCCATTCTAGATTTTTTCACGGAACCACTTGATTCTTTACAGGGTGATAATCATCAGTACCTTTTTGTTACAGGAAAAATTATTTTGCAGCTGTGATTTTTGCATTACTGACCGCTCGAAATAATGAGATTTATTATTTATTGTTATCGAAATGTTTTATTCCAATGTCCCAATGGAGCAGATGTGTGCATAAGATTTTTTAATGAATAAAAAAATAGTCAGAATGCAAATGAAATCAAATGAAAAATTGGGGAGTTGAGGTTCCAGCCCCTGTATTTTATTTTAACATGAAAATTTTCCGAAATCGGAAATTTTTCAGGGAAAACCTTGAGTACAATTCCTCCGTATATCGATTGATGCCTATAATCCCCGAAAAGGGATAGAACCGTAATAATGAAATAGTTTATAGTTTTATTTGGGGTACCTCGCACTAAACGCATAATACCCAACGTTAAACTGGATCTTTGTCCCTGAAACTGGTATATTATTGCGTGAGTCCTGGGGTAACCCGGGACGAGTCCCTGAAATTTAGCCAATACTTCCCTCTTCATCCCACAAGCTGATTCTCGTAAGTTCTTTTCAGTTATGAAAATTCCAAACTCGGAGTAGGTAAAAAGTAATAAGTAGTCTTGGAAACCTTGAGAATTTGTTCTGTTTACTTAACCTTCGTAATGAGGTGAGGAAAAAACACCTTGAGTACTTTTAAAAAGCTCATTATTACCGTTCAACGCAACTACAATTGGAAAAATACTGTCACAAAAAAAAAATACAGAATTGACCAAAATTTCAAAAAATTCGTGTCTACGAATTGTAATAATTAGAAAATTCAAATATTTCAATGGATAATTGAGGGGAATTTCATAATTACTTTTTCTGAATTTCTCATCCAAAAATGCATGGCAGAAAAATGGCGGTCCGTTTATCGTAATTAAATCTAATTATGACTAAAAATAATTCAATTCTCCTTTTTGTTTCTACAGAAATGAATACTCTGGTTCTCATGATCTACAATTTCCCATAAATATCGCGGCCGAGCTGTCATAACGGAAGGCCCACGGTCAGATGTCGCGACCTTTCTCATTAACCCGTGAGAGAAAAAAGCCCATAAGACCCTCTCACTTGACCACAAGACTACATCAAGAAACCCGAAGGGGTCTCATGCCTAAAAGATGGAGTTCACTCTCTAAATTTGGAACGCCTACCCCATGCTCTCTTCTTATTTTCATTTTTTTTTCTCCTCTCCATCCTCCGAAAAAAATCCTCGGGACATGCACCTGCAGAGTGCACCCACGCTCCCCGTCTCCTCGGGAAGACGAGATTTTGGTTTTTCTCCATTGAGGAAACATCCTTCCGATATTCATTGAACCTCCACTTCCGCATTTGAGAATCTTTTTTTACATTATATTTCAATTCCCATCCCTCAAAATCCCGTAATTTCCCACGTAACTATACACGCAACACTCTTTTATCGAACATTTGGGGAAGGGGTGGCATTCGAAAATTTTTTCGCTGAATAAAAAAAACCTCCACCCAACATCTGGATACGACCGGGGATGATTTCGTAATAGTAGATTTTTCTATAACGGGGTTCCCATAAAAATTTCGTGGTAAAAAACCTATTACCCCTCATGTTATTAATTTAGTTCCGAAAGAGTTTGTGGGAGTCATTTTTTTAAAAGTGAGGGGGACTAATGAAATCATTGGAAAATCTGTGCGAGGGGAACTGGAAAAGGGTGACATTTTAAAGTCTGTCATTTCGAGTGACTTATAAGTCACACGAGTCTAAATAATTTCCGTTCGGCCAAAAATCGGATATTACCTTGTAATTCTTCATTTCTCGAGAAACGACTAAAATTCGGTTTCCCTAATCTTGTGGCTGTCAAATTACCCGAAAAATCCATAAATTTATGTTCATTGTGAGCCTTCGATATTCACCCTTGCGAACTTGACTAGTGATTCGAGGTCATACCGGCACTAAAACAACAAAATAATCACATCCTCTTCAATAGTCTTCGCATAACTAGAGCTGGGATTCATTGACTCCCAAGCAATCTCATACCTGCACTCTATTCAAGCCTTAAATAATTTCCCTTCAGCAAAAGGATTCAGTTTGCGAGTTTCAACTCTAGCCCCCCTGAGGCACCCCCACAGGGCGGTCCCAATCCAAAACTTTAACTAGAACACTCGGAACAATGAGGCCCGACCATAAAACCGATCCATACACTGTCCCCAATAACTCCAAATTGGGTCAGTGGGGCCCGAAAAATATGAGAATGAGGTCGTGTGGTGGACACACGCACGAAAAATATTCACCATCGGCATCAGGTAAAATATTCATTCCAAAATTCTTTCTCACCTCTCCATTTCCTTTTCCGCATCCTGTCAAAAATCCATTCATTGTCATCAATAAATTTTATTTCAGTCATAAAACGGCCTCGTGCTGTCCAGGAGGCGGGAGGACGTCATTCAATTGATGAAGTAGAGAAATTCGTGGAGTTTTTGTTATTCTTGCAGTTGTTGAATTTATTTGGCAAAAATAATGGATTTTCTCAGTGCATCCCCCTGTTGCAACACACGACGCAATGCCAAGTAAAGAGAGTAAGGAGGGTAAACCTCTATTGATATTACCCCCTTGGAAGAATAAAATGAGAGGGGGAAAATCACCTGGCAGAAGTTCCCACGTTTGGCATTGGCTTCACCCTTTGCCTTCTTCCTAATCGTGATGGTCATAGGACGGAGGCAAAAAAATTGAAGAAAGCGAATGTGGAAATAAAAAGGATAAATCAGGAAGACTCAGACCTCGACTACCTCGTGCATCTATTATGGCCCTGACCGATGGAGAGAGAACTGCGCGTGGCTGACACACGAACAGTCCCCCATCGCCATATTTCGATGTTTTATTGGGATCGAGGTAGTAAAGGAGTCGAGAAATACCGTGTCAGGTATTTACATAGAAAGAACCTCAAACAGTCCCAGTAACTGTTTCCTTTGAGATATCGTGGGAGGTTTCGGGATCTGTGGGAAGATTTTTTCGGCATTTTTCTGACCCTCGGCTCTTCACAGAAATCACATTATTATTCTGTTAATTTTTTGTGGCTCAACGCTTCAGTTAATCATCTTCACTAGAGTTCATTATTTCAAAGACACGTTTCATTTCAATAATGAACAGTTTATTGTAGAGATTTTTTGAAAACTCATCCCGGAACTTTATTATTACACATATTATTGTAAATTTTGTGTATGATCAATTCTCCGTGCCAGATCATGATGAATAATGGATTAGTTATAATTTAAAAAAATGGTTTTAAACGGTTGCCCATATCTGGTAATGTAATCTCCTGAACGCCTTGATGTAACTCAGTCTGGGTGCGACGTAACAAAGTCCAGATTTTTAACACGAGAATCTGC